ATATGAGTTATGTATCATCATATCTTATATGATTTATAACATGTGATTGTGATTTTACTCTAGAATGTAGCGAGATATTGTGTAATAAAAACCTAATGAATATATAAGATTTTGATGTAGTGAAAAGATTGAAAAAATCGTAATCTTGTAAGGATACCACGTCGTTACACATTCTAGCCCGATATAAATAAATAAATATTGTTTCCATCTATTTTCCATTAGGCATACCTTATTCTTATACAATTTCCGAATATATTTTCGAATCGAATTGTAACAAATACTCGTCAATAGATAAATAAATAGGTAAACTTTCCTCTTAATATAATTTATGACATGTTACGTAAAATATTTGTTACAAAAAGCCATTGAAAGTCTTCTATCTAAAAGGCAAAGAAATGTAAAAAAACTGGATCAAGTATTAAAATAAACTTGACTACATCTTTTATGGATGCACACACGCGAGGTCAACTTTCATTTTTACGTATCCTTGTACCATTATGTATCCTTCGCGAATAAAAACACAATATAAGAGCAACAAAGGAGGCTGAATGCATCCGGTCACACGGCCGCTGCGGAGCCGCTGTGCGCCTGCACACCCCACTCAATCAAAGTATTGCTCACCACAATTTTACTTTACCATTTAAAATCTTATATTAATAATCCCTTTGCATGTGAGATGTGAAAGCGACTGAATATTTATGATGAGATCAAAATTTTCGAGTACCTTATCAAACTACAACTTGTACATGAAAAGGACAATAATTGCTTTGAAAGTCATTTTACGATATTTCAGCTTCCGTGCTTAAGGGCAATTACTTGGATTTAATGCAAAAATTTACGTATCAGCTTTCCATATGCAAATTCTTGTTTAATTTTAGACTAGGCCATGTCGGATATTGATTTTACTAGATGTTGCAAATTATTGATTAAATGGCAAACTGGAATTCAATTACGATTCATATTTTAATACTAAATTTAATTAAGTAGTGAATAAAGAATGGTAATAAAATATATAACGTATTGCTTTGCTTCAACTCTTTTTCATCGTATTTATGTCTTTACACATGTACTAATAGTACAGATTCGATGTCTCAATAAAACATTTAATAGCTCCCAGTACAGATCAGATTCTGCTACTATATTATACAGTGTGATTACGAGGCAGTTAATTATGTAGAATAAGGACGTGAGCTTGACTTGAAAATCATTGTGCCGAGCAGGGTTCATGGCAGAATCGTACTATCGTCAATACAAATGTAGGGCCTTAGACATTTGTTCTCTGACTCCTGAGTTGCAGGCGTTCATGGGTGGCGGTAGTCATTTTTCATCAGGTGACCCGTCAGTTCGTTTGCCAGGCCCAAAAAATAACTTCACAGAGTCGACTATTTCAATGTGTCTTGACAACACACTGTGCCTTTTACTGTTTTTTTAATTGTATTTTAACATTGAGGGGCTCGAGGACAAGTTCTAACTGAGTAAGTTAACACATTGTACAGTTAAGCAATCCTAGCCAGGTCAATCTATGGATGGGTGACCATTTCTTAACACATTGAGACCCCTTCGTGCTAGGTCTTAGATGTCGCCTAGTACCTACTTGGGTTGTGGAGGTCTGATGGCAATCGTTTCACGTAAAAAATCAAAGTTCAGCCCTGTCATAATAGACTGACAGCCGACCACAACCTAGTTTGAAAAAATGGCTCCGAGGATGATGGTGATTGTAATTTAACATTGTATCAATTGTTACTTGACACATTATATATATATATATATATATATATATATATAGATTGTATAGGTATATTCTAAGTCGTAAGTCGTACAATAAAAAGACTGTTTAATTTATAAATATGGATAACATTTAACAATGCATAGCGGTCGTGTTATTATGTGTTCCGTTCTCATTTGCATATCAGTGATTAAGTTTACATAAACAACTGTAATCTTGACCTCTGTCACCGCTGGTGTCATCTTGTACTACTTTCGATCTAGAGTTCAAATGTCATCGACTTGTGTAGATGCACTTGATTGTATTAGTTTTATGCTAATATGTAAAAAACATCGTTCTTATTGCACATTTTGATATTTAATCAAATAACTAAAAGAATTCGTGTGGTAGTTTATTTTTGCTCGTATTTACAAACTCTCAGACTCCTTGATTTATATGTGAGAATTGGTTATTGATACTATGAGTAAGTAATGATCATGATAATAATAGTTTCCATGCGATACCCACGGTGCAAATATGTTTGGTATGACGTAAATCTGCAGATATTCGACCATATTTGGGAAATTGAAAGTTTTGCGACGTGACCAATTCGACAAAGCCTTGTGATCACCATTTATGCGTTAACCGGAATTTCGTTCCTTATGTACCAACATCATTATTTAAGTAGACAGATAAAAGTCTATTTAATCTACATTGTTTAGTTTTATTCTTTGGTGCTCTTGCCCTGTCAACTCAATGTGATTACAAAGTATTAAACTTGAAAGCATTATTTACTAATGTTCATTAAACGACAATTTGTAAAAAAGTAAAAGTTTTAGCTCATAAATAAAACCGCTTATTAACTTCAATTTATGTATAGAATGCGCACAGGTTACGAAGGTTTTATATTTTATATGACTATAGTTATGTAAACTTCGAGGCATCAAAGATCACCTTGGAATGGGAGCAAACTGGTATTTCCACAATAGTTATGTGGTTATATCGATAGACAATTATTGTTCTTATATTATTTAATAAAAAAGTAAAAGCAATCGCAAAGATTGTAAATAGGTAAACGAGTGAAAGGTATAGAAAGTCGAAAATCACAAAAAAGGCAAAGTTGTAAACAAAAAGATGGATTTTGTGATAAGTGGTAAGTGTAACGTCAACGCCATTGATTAAAAAAGGTTGATTATCTTGATCTTAATAATATTTGCTTGGCTTTATAAAATAACTTATAAAAGTGAACCAAATATTATAAAAGTAAAACCATTTTTATATGATTTCTAATTAGCTAGTTGGCTCAGCTTTATAAGTTAAAAAGCTATTTCTAAGTAAGTATGGAAAAATATTAAGGTATTTATCACTGTATAATTTTTACAAGTTGTTATAATAGAGTTTTGTTCATCATTTAAAAGGCAACATTAAGAAAGGCTGCCCAATTTTTTTATTTCTACTTTTTAGCTCTGTTTAGTCCTTTTCAACTCGTACTCTCATATTCGTGATAAACTCCTTCTAAACTTGAGCTTCGAATCCCGGCATTAATTTTACTTATTATTTCTTTAAATAATAAGTAAAATTAATGTGCCTCTTTAGGCACATTATAAAAGATTAATTTTTTTGAAACAACTCCTGCAATAGGAATACGAGGGCTATTTATGTATCCGGCCCGGGCCAGTTAAAGAACAATATATACTATATACAACAATACCAACACAACAATACTATATATATATATATATTTATAATAATATATCTCACACATCTCACACACGGCCGTCTGATCCCAAACTAGGCAGAGCCTGTACTATGGTAACCAGACTGCTGATAAACATACATATATATTTTTTAAATAGCATATTATAGATAAATTGACCCAGACACAGAACAAATAACCGTACTCATCACACAATATTTGTCCTGGGTGGGAATCGAACCCACGACCTCCGATTTAGCAGTAAGTGTCACTAACCACCAGACCAACAGGCCTATATATATAATACTTTAAAAAATGAAACTCTTTAGTGAATAATACAATTGTTTCATGTAGCTGTTATTTGATTATCATTTGGGGCATCATTTTGAAAATTGCGTGTCTTTATCACTATGGATTTTACTCGTGAAAATGTTCGTGCTATGATTTATTACGATATATTATTAATTTATAGATTTATACGCTAACCCAAAAATAGTGCATCGATCAACTCACTTCGACTTTCGACGAAGCACCATCAAAACTAACTGTGTATCACTGGTTTAGTGTGTTTAATCGAGGACGGTCTGTGCTCACCAGAAGGTCGTCCTAAATCGGTTGTTGTACCTCAAAATATTGATGCTGTGCGGGAACTAATAATGCAAGATCGTCATGTTACATATCGCGAGATAGAGGCGTCTCTGGGAATAAGTATGACGAGTATATATAAAATATTACATTTAGCTTTAAACAAAATTTGTCACGTTGGATTCCGCACAACTTTAGAATTGACCAAAAGCGGGCTAGAGTCGATTGGTGTAAAAAAATATTACAAAAGTACAGTCAGGGTTCATCAAAAGCTGTCTATAATATGTACACAGGTGATGAATCTTGGATATATACGTATGATCTAAACAACAATCAACGGTTTGGGTGTTCCAAGATAAGCGAACCCAACAAAAGTCATTCGTTCAAAAAGCACTTTGAAGAAAATGGCCGCATGTTTTTTGGGTATAAATGGACATGGTTAATAAATAGTTTTACGATCCTCTAGTGGCAATGTAGGCAACATTGCCACTAGAGGATCGTAAAACGGTTAATCCTGAATGGTACACGACAATATGTTTGGCGAGTATATAACTTACAAAATACCGAATTAACGGGTCATCCGCCGTACAGTCCTGACTTCGCCCCCAACGTCTTCTTTTTATTCCCAACCGTGAAGAATAAATAACGTAGTAAACGTTTAACGAGACTACAATCAAAATAGAAAAAGTGCTACGAAAATTGGTTCCAACATATGATAAAGTGCATTGATCATTACGGCGAATATTTTGACGGCTGCAATAAAACTATAATAAATGCTATATGTTTGTTTCACTTTGTTATTGTGGATACATACATAGCAGCCCTCATATATACAAGACTTTACAAACATACATAAATGAAACGAACACAAAGAACACCCAGACTCAGAACGACAATTTGTGGATCACACAAAGTGTGGTCCCTTGTGGGGATCAAACCCACAACACTTAAACCACTACGCCATCCGTGTAGCCATTATTTATACAATACATATATGATTTAAAGAATACTTACCAGGCATAAGAAAGTATACAAAAACGGCTAGGGCGATGCAAATCGCGATGAGTGCCATAGGCCATCGAAGAGCTCGAATTACTTGTATTAACTTGTTTGCACCTGAGCCGCCGTCTCCCGACACGCGGTACAGGCTGTCCGGGTGAGATCCCTGCAGGCAATAATGAGAAAAGCATATTAATATCCACTAACAGACATCACTGTTGAGACAAATAGCAGGTATGAAATATAGTGCATAGGAACACAAAAAAAGGGAATACATACTAGTTAATTTAATTTTTAAACAAATGATAATTAAACCTGAAACAACAATTAAATTAACATTACTTTGACATTAATTTGCAACACCATACTTAAAGTTTAATGAAAAAAAGACTATGTTAAACAAAATGCGTTTTTCTTAGATTTCGTAAGGACAATTGTGTTCCGCTAATTCTGCCCGTATGTATAATAGACTGCACGGATGGCGTAGTGGTTTAAGCGGTCGCCACGCCGCTTCCTACTACGCCGAGTGTTGTGGGTTCAAACCCCACATGGGACGACACTTTGTGTGATCCACAAATTGTTGTTCTGAGTCTGGGTGTTCTTTGTGTCCGTTTCATGTATGTTTGTAAAGTCCCCCGCGACACAGGATTTATTCCTAATGCGGGAGTTGTCTTTAATAATAATAATGAAAATATGTATGTGTTTAGAAATATTTAAGTATGTTTATTAGCAATCTGGTAACAATAGCACAGGCTCTGTATAGTTTGGGATCGGACCGCCGTATGTGACATGTATTTTTTTTTAATTATTATAAATGTGGTAATGTAATGTTTTAAACACAAGCCTTCGCAAAGGAGAATAAGACAATAAGGCTTTAGTAAAACTTCTATGTTATGTATGTCACTTTGTTTTATAACGTTTGCTCATTTTCCCTTATAAAGATGTGTATGTACGAATTAACAAATACCAAATCAGTGATTATATGAGAAGGCACCTGCCACAGTCAAGTGCTCATGCATCTAGAAAATTGAAATAACCATGTGGTGTTTGAAATTTCGTTTTAGACTGCACGAGTGAGTAATTAGTTGTAATTACTTAATAGCTATATAAAATTTCATAAGAAACGATTGCCAAAAAAATAAAATTTTGCCATAATAGTCAATACACCCACGTGCCGAATGACTCGTATGCAATGTTTATTCATAGAAAGAACATTTATTGTGATCGTCGTGATTACGTGATACTCGTTTAAATATTTTATAATGTTATTTAAAATGGAATAACGCAAAAAAAACGTTACTGTTGAAAGTCATAAAGTAAGGCAATTTAAACATTAAAACAAAATATACATCAGAAGAACTATTCAATAACTTACTGAAACTTACAGGTAAAATAACATAAATAATCATTAAAATATATGAATAAGATTAGTATTAAATGTACCTTGATGAATTGTCCTATTGCTTATAATACATTCAGTTTGTCATTTTTGAAGGTTCCGTATGACTTAATAAAAAAACGGAACTTGATACAATTACTTGTACGTATGTCTGTCCATCTGTCATAGCCATAGCCCACCCACGAATCTGCTGAACCAATTACGTTGAAATTTTGTAAAGATATTAATTTACATAAAAATAAATTTTGAAAAACTTGATGACGGAGAAATTGACGGAGAAATCGCTTAACATACAAAAAAAAAAACAGTCTAATTGAGAACATTAATCATAGTACAGAATCCTATTCATGCGTGTTTAAATCTCATTTAGCCAGGTTTTTCTAACATATTATGCAGTTTCATATGGCAACTTTGTTTTTAAATATTCATTTAAAAAAAGCATTAAGTAAAAAAATGTGATATGTAAGAAAATTCGAAATCATCCATAACCAATATATAAAGTGTGCATTAAATATGTCATTCTATGGCCCACAATCTTTATCTGTTGCTTATATTATCATAAAAAAGAGGTGTGGAATGTGGGCGATATTTAAATTCATCTAATCGATTCTGATTTATTGTACTTTTAAATATTTTGTGGCAATAAATACATTTTATTGGTGTGTAGTTTATACTTCTCTTAAGCGTTTTATGTAAGTGAGTTACGAGTATGTACACGTGTTGTGTACAACACAACTGGAGATGACACACATGTACACGCCTTCACTGAATTATAGCTGTACCAAATACGGTATGTATTGTACGTTTCTTGAGTAGATAGTCCTATATAGATATCAGTAATCTATTAATAATCAAAAACTTCAGAACTACCTGATCGTATAACAGTTTGTGAAATTGCACGTGACGTCTTTAGTTAGGAAATGGTAATTTAAAAAAAATCTACATAATTATGTATGTCACTAAACGGTGGAAGAGCCATTCTGATGTACAAAAGTACCAGCTCGACCGGAGGGTTCCCATAGCCTCTTTCGTTGCAGTTCACTGAGTGAATGAGGTTATTATGTGCTCCACCACCCTTCTAAATCTGGAGGCGCAAACAAAAGCCAACAATCCTCTTGTGGTTCTTGAATTGCCGGGGTCATTTGGCAGACTTAGTCACTTATTCACATCAGGCGATCTGTTTGCTCGTTTGCCCCATCCATATAAATAAAAACGTTAACTTGATTTATGTATGCTTCAAAAACTCAAAAAATGCTGCACTGATTCAGCTCAAATTTTACACTATAGATCACAATGTGCCAAAGCGAAGTGTGTCAGATTACAGCTTGTGTATAATAAAAATTATATTTAGTTACATTAAAAGACATTACAAAGTTGGATAGAGATGGAACCTTTTCATCAGTGAATGCTTTCTACACTGGAATGATATACTCCCCTGTTAAAGCTTTATGTGTGGAGCAACTATTCTCAAAACAAAAGGTACACGAAAACATCAACCGGGATTAAATGCTATAACAGACTTTCTTTAAGCTATACTTTCCACTGCTGAATAAAACCGATGTACAATTCAAAATAAACTAATGTTAAATGCAATCGAGACTCCATAGCTTTTAAAATGTAATATGTTTACATGTAGCTATTATTTTATTTCTACATAGCCTAGTTAAGTGGTCGTAAATATTTGTGTACATTTGTATATCGATGCTTAGTAAAAGTTTAAATAATAATAAAAAATTAAATACCTGGCAAATATGAACATAATATGACTGTGATATTGAAGTATTCTACAGTATATTGCAAAAATAATTAGAGTAATTGTTATGAGATGCAACATTTAAAGCTAAATAAATATCTGTTTTAAAATCTCGTGTAGTAGTAAATTACACTAACATATCAGCACAGTAGTAGTAAACATCTGTAATCTTAAGTTGAATCTTCATGTACTTAAGGATGGGGCTTACGTGGCTTCGATAATTTCAAACGATTCAAATTACACATACCTCTTAGTTGTTGATTAAATTCGTTACGGTTATTTAATATACATAATCGGTATTTTAAGTAGTGACTACCTACCGGTTTTTCTAAAGTGTTTTTGCTCTATAAGATTTTTCTGTTTTAAGATTTAGTGAAAAACTAGCAGACGGATCACCTGATGGAAAGTGACCTACCTGATGTGATGTTACCTATGAACGTGTGCAACTCTAAAGGGCTTTGTCGGGTTAGGTTGATTAAAAGAGTGACATAGGTACAGAAAAGTAATAGACACTAATTTGATAATTTTATGTTTCATCGTTGAGACTTTAAGACCTCCTATGTGTCACTTTTAGGGAAATCGACTTTTTAATAACCATCGACTCAAAATTTAAAGGTAAAGGTAATGTACGCAAAAACTCTCATGTGCTTATGACGTTTTACTCGTATTTTATTTATGGGTCTCAAAATCTCCTATGAGACAACTCATTAAAACTCGGTTTATAAAATATCCTATGTGTTGATCCATGTGTGGCAGCCTCACGAAAGTTATTTCCTAAGTTACTTTCCCGTGATAATTTTGGAATTGCCTGAAGCCAAAAAGAATGCTGCAGCTAGTGCAAATGAGGAGGTTGCTGTTATAACCGTCGATGTACAAAGCGTTCTACTTGCAAACTTGTTAGCAAGGTCATTGTATTAAAAATAAAATATAAATGCCATAATTTCACAGTTTATAATGTATTAGCTAACCCGCGAATTCATCTACGTCTTTCATCTCAAAAGGAATATTTTTTGCGAGTTATTGCATCAGTTTTCGTTAATGCTCGGCACCTATTGGTTGTAACTTGAAGTTACGTAGCCCATACCCTTCCTCAATAAATGGTCTAACGATAAGTTTCTGAGATTGGCGTGTGAAACCAAACAAACTCTGCAGCTTTAAGTACAAGACGCTACAATCTTTTTTTGGCATGAAGCAAACGATAATGTTACCGCAAATGAATTTACATCTTGCTCAATAGATTACGGTGAAAATGTATACGACCTTACTTACGGATGCGCACATCAATACCGGGACCGAGTTTTGTCTAGTGCACTTAGTGATTAGGCTAAAAAAAAGAACATTAATATCGAAAAGCTTTACCCAGAAAAAGAACATACAAAAGATGGAGGTCGTAGCGTTTACGTGGTGTACTCTTTGCAGTGCTTTTGTCATTTTACATAGTTTGTTTACGGCTCTTACGTGACATTAAATCAATCCATTATGACTTCTTCCTAAATTTTGAAGAATTGGAATCAAATCTGAAGTCTTACGTCTGGCAAAAAAGGAGATCCTATTGTGGTGGACATCAGGGGTGTTAAATATTTGCCGAATGGGTCTATATTTTCTATATTGAGGCAATTTCGATCAGTGGACCATACTTCTACTGTATATGTAACCAAAGGGGCCTTGTATCTCTAAACCGATTGGACATGTCACTATTAAACATTACTAAAGTACATATAAGGATTTACAGGAATTGAAACTGGTGATTGATCAAGATCATCATTCATTTTACATTTCTTTCTTTAGTATTCAATCCAGGTCCTTGAATAAATAAGGCATTTGTTTTTTATATTCCAATTTTTATTTAAAATATCTTTCTTTAAATTCTTATTTGCTTGATTACTTGCAAAAGCAATTAAGGATGTTTTTAGAAATAAACATTCACTACTACACTGGTTTTTACCTCAATTTCTATTAGATTAAATTTCTCCGATGTAATATAAAATGCGCAATCAAAATCTGGTATATGTACTCAAAACAAGAAACGGTTTCTAGCGATTTTCTCAAAATTGTAATTTCTAAACATAATTTAGGAGGTGTTGAAATCGCAGCGACGGTTTGGAAAGCCTGTGTTTGGTTTTGACATATGTATTGCTTACTTCTGGAATTTCCAGTTCCCGCTTTGTGCTAATTATTATTCACAGAACTATACATTGCAAATGTAGACTTGCATTAAATATAATGTTTACAGCATTTCTGTTATGTAACCATAGGGTGAGTCAGGTCATAGAGCAGTTAGACCGATTCCCGAGTATACCTACCTATATACTTAGATATAAATAGTGTTACAGTATTTTCAGATGTCTTTCTCTCTCAGAAATATGTTTCTGAACAATAAAAACAATATATTACGATTTTAACGATTTGACATTGACACAGTATCCATAAAGTCCTTCTGCACATCTAGGTCATCAGTTTTATATTTCCAATTAAGAGCCATTAGTATTTTCCTCAATAATAAAAAGGTTTACTTATGATATCGGTTGTAAGGTAGTCATAAATTCAATATTGTTAAACTGTTAAAGTTATTTAATGATATATTGTCGCAACATACATTTACGAGTAACGCTAAAAGTGTTTACGTAATATACCTACAATTTTATAACTTATGTAACAACAAATTATTGTAACAACAATGAGTCATTGATACGAGATTCTGACATTAAAATACACATACGATACAGTACTTATAAAAGGAATAATATGTATATATACATTGTTACAATACATTTTAGAAAATTATTATACAGCTCACGTTTCAGATCCTAACAACGCAAAAATGAACAGACAAAAGTAATATTATTATAGAACATGTAACTAACTAGACAGAACATAAGTAAAATCTCAACACAGCAATCGCTCATAATCAATATATACTATTTATTATCTGCTGGCAAAATAAGGGACTTCAACTCTGTACCAGGGTTTTCCTTTCTAGGGTGCACCTGGTTCGCCGGTCCCACGACACGCACCGACACCATGCGGTTTTTTAGTCAGTTCGGGTCCGACATAACCAGCCTAGCGGTGGTTGTCCGGTGGGCGGCATCCGAGATGATTTCCACATAGAAAATGAAAGGGGCGTCAAGTCTGAAGATTCTAAGAAAAGAACCCTACTATGACTTACTAAGGAGGAGCCAGGAAGGGACAGGCTTATTATCCTAAAGACATGAACTAATAAGGTTTTTGAAGAAATATTGTTTTCATTCTAAGAATATAGCATTGATAATCGCACCTTAGCGTTGAAAAGTATCTATACTAATATTATAAAGCTGAAGAGTTTGTTTGTTTGTTTGTTTGAACGCGCTAATCTCAGGAACTACTGGTCCGATTTGAAAAATTCTTTTAGTGTTAGATAGCCCATTTATCGAGGAAGGCTATAGGCTATATATCATCACGCTAAGACCAATAGGAGCGGAGCACCCATGAAGAATGTATCAAAAACGGAGAAAAATTATTACTATTGAGAGACGCAGACGAAGTTGCGCGGGTCAGCTAGTGTTTTACTAACTAGATAGTGCCTATAAACCCTTTTTACACCAAAAGTGTTAGTCTCCTGTTCCTACCCTATACCTACAATAACATTACGCTGATAAATTAGGTTGTGCGCCGATAATTCTTAATCTTATCTTAATTAAGAGTCCAAGAGGCTCCAATTTGAAATTAAAACTCTGAGGGCACTCCCTTACATAAAACAGGCAGTATATGCACTCAGAAAATATCACATGTATTTACCATACCTTAGTTCAGTAATCATCGCGTAACACGGAAGGCATTATCTATTGCCTAGATATTGACGTACATATACAAATGGTCTGGTTTCAGCACAACTGGATATCATTATCCAGCAAGTAATCACCTTATAAAATACAGTAACAAATATCAAATTCTGGTGTATTAGCCGTATAATTAGCTCGCCCTATTACTACATCGTAACTAAGTTACGCAATTCTAATTACTTCTGGATGAGAGTTTGGTATCGTGCAATAGCTTAAGGACTAGTTGTAGCTTAACGTGGCTATTTTGAACGCCATGTTGTTGTCTGTTCAATGTTGTGGTTCTGAACAGCGATTATTTACGTCCGCGTTCGTTAGGCGGAGATCCACCATTTTTAATCTAGGCCGCTAATCGGCATAGATTAAAATGACGATAAATATTTTGAGTATGATATTTCATTCATTAACTTATTCAAAATTGAACCAAAATGAGGCTAGCCCCTTACAAACTATAAGTACTCAAAATTTCAATTAAATCAAGACCAATTTTTTGCAGCAGTGGACTGTTATAGGCAGTTGGTGGGTGGTGGTGAATTTTTAGATTAATCTCGTAATACAACAGTGTCTTGATATTGAAACCTAAGTATAATATCAATATCAAGTATAATACCCACACCTTGGCTAATTACATTCGCCAATCAAGTTTATTTTATGATCATAATTAGAAGATACCGGTTATAAATGTATTCAATGTCTTTAAAGATTTATATCACTTTTATTGTTATTAGTTTGTGATAATTTAGAGATGTGATCTGAGGAGGTTCTTCGCACTAGCACTTCTGCACATTTACATAATGACTCTCTAAGGTACCTAATCTCGCATTTTAGTTCGATGACAACTAATTTTATTCATTATTTACATAAATAAAAGTAAGTGAAAAATTTTACGGTATAAAATTATGTTTATGTCATTATTGTTGATATGTTTCTTTGAGAAATTCATTGCTAACGTGTAACAGTAGTTTGAAGTATATTCGGGAACAGAGATGGCAAGGAGTTGCCAAACCAGGTACTATTAGTGTTTATGGGCACTGGTACACCTTTTCGCATGAGGTACCATGTAGTGGCGTTCGTGAACTACATACGTAGACTAAGTAATGTCCACTGTGTGTGTCTGTGACCAGCTGGAGTAACAGGTCTTTTTAAGAGTTCTTATCCATCAAGGAGATGTTAATGGATAAGAACTTTTTTGTTCAAAAGATATTTTGATATGATCTACCTAGCAACATTAATATTTTATCTACCTATAAATATCAAAATGCTGTAATGTATATTTTCTCGTGTATAACATAGTAGGAATCAAAAAAATTTGGTAAAGAGTTTTTTTTTAATAATAACTTACCCTAACCAACATAATTATTCAAATGTTTACAAATTGTTGAAAGTTTTTGAAAAAACCAAAATTTAATTAAGTTTAGGAAATTCTCGCTATTTGTGTAACAGATAAAATCTTTTTAATTAAGTACATTAAAATACACTCATTGTAAAACCCCTATTCGCATCACTAGCCTTCTAATCAGAAGTAATAAATAATTATTTCTTACTATTGTAAGATTCTGTCATTAAATTATATTTAGTGTAAACTAACCACTCATTCAGTTGTGATCCTTGCTTAATCAAAAGTTTGTCATCATTATAGGTAGGTATTAAGCATGATATCAGTGTCCACTTAAAATTAAGTAAGAACCTATATCGCAGAAACTTAACAAGTTTCAAACCCTTTCATGTAGTAGAAATAGTAAATGTTTTACTAATTATTGTATGGAATATAATAAATATAACTCTCAATTACGTATTATAGACTTACAATGTACCCTACCTTTGCAGCAAAGGGTTTGATCTCCCTCGGTTTGGTAAAATACTTGTCGAGCTTGGTGTCGTAACCGAGGTCGTTGATTGCTGGTCCAGGCATAGTTTGCACGCGGTACGTCCCGTACTGCTCTCCGTGTTCCGATATAGTTGGCAAGTTCGCGTTTGGTGAACTACAGTTGCTGCTCGAACGTGAGTAAACCGAATACGCGTAGTTGACCGAACCGTCCGTTGGGTTCTTAGGTTTCTTCGTGAATGCGTAACGCCTCGGGCGCTCTTCAGTAGGCTTCAAATCGTAAGTTTCGAATTTTTCAGACACAAAGTTTTCTTCAACATCTGTTGTCGGCACGTAGCGCAGTAATCTAGGTTCTTTTATTGTCTTTTGGTATTTGACTGAGTCAGTGTCATTGTCCAACTGAGCCTGGTTCAATGAATGCTGTAGCTCATTAGCTGATCTATTATTTTTACGTTTAACTTTACGCTCGTGATTCGAGTGCACGTGGTCATCTACTATCTCTGACTCAGAGGTAGGTCTGTCTCCGTATAACACGTAGTTGCCGTTTACCATTTTGTGACAATAACAGTTCGCTTATGGAATGCAATTACTTATTTTGAATGTTTCACCTTTTGCACGGTCATTTTCAGGTTATTTGTGCTCAGTTGTAAGTCATTATAATAGGGACATCACTGAGATGAGCACAGAACGAGACTGTGTCACTAATATTGAATGAAGTTGATCATTACGTATGCAGATTGTTTGTTTGTTTGCCGGTGTATGTTGAAACAACGAAATTCTTTATCTGTAAATTGTGCATGATTAATCGGAATATGCTAGTAATTGCAGGATGTGACTGTGTATGAAGTAATCTTTTGTTTGTTGTTACCCATGTCATCAACTTAACAAAGTACTTACGTTTCGAAATACAGCTACTGAGCGACTTTAATCACGTGTTTTGACACTTCTTGTTAAATTTGTATCGACTCGTATCGACTGTATTTCGAAATTTCACCTAATATTCTATAATCCTAATCCTTATATCTAATATTATTTGGACATGGTTTTTGACCCTTTCATTTTATAAACAGCAGGTAACACAATTTAGGGCAATGCATCATCATCAGCCTTTCGCCGTCCACTGCTGAACGAAGCCCAGATACTACTATTTAGTGAAATTGTAGGAATAAAAATTAAAACTATAATAGTCATGAGAATCGGCATTACCAACAGTAATGACTAAAAAATATGTTTTTGTTTTAAATATTTAAAATAAATATTTGATTAACAGCCTACTAAATTTGGATGCGAAACTCTCTACAAAAAAGAAATCATAACATAGAAAATAGTATTACTTTAGACCTGTTTGTGAACCCTGGACATTTTTATAAATTACGTCACGCGTTAAAGGGCTTGGGATCAACGAGGACAAGAAGCGAGGGGGAGCGATAATATTTTGCTATTATCGTTCTTCCCTAGGGTCCTTCAAGTCCTTAAGGCTTAGGATTGAAAGTACATAATCATAAGATGATGCTTTCCCTTATTAGATTTTGCCTTAAGTAATACAATTATCGTATTTAATTAATGAACTTGAAGAACAGTTGTTGTCTTCCATGACTCACTACATCGTGATTAGGAACTTCTTAATAATCGATTATTATTATTATTGTAACTCAATCAGAACAACAATAATGTTTATATTTATTCATAACATTGGTAACATTTTTCATTTAGACAATGCGTCGTTCCTTCAGTAGCAAATTAAGAGCTGTTTGTTTATTAATATTTTAAAAGAAGTCCTAACTAATAGTTTAAACGTCTTAAATTCTTTACAGATTATCAAGAGGGGTACAGCAAAAAAAAAACATATTAGTTTGTTATTCATCTAGATAAAAATAACTATTCCTGATTGATAGAAAACTAACTCTGAGATGGACGGACGAAGGAAAAATGTATACCAACGCAACGGGCAATAGTTAGATGACTATAATATCGAAATAAACGTCTACTTTGAAACAAGCTATGGGAACATTCGCTACCTATGTTGTAAACGGCAAGCACTACATACCCGGTGGCAGATAACATTCGTAGCGTTATGTCGGCCATTATTGTTTGGGCGTAGTTCCCGCGCTTTTTGCCTACCTACCTTACGCGGGAACGTTCTCAGTAAAGCGCGTGCGCGACAATGGCGGTGGTGCGGCACACGCAACGAGAGTGAATTGCTGCGATTGTGCAATCCCGTGTACTTTGTGCAACTAATGTCCCGTTAATGTTACAGATGCAATGATATCTTGGTTCATCTATTACAGTTTAAACTTCCTGAAGTGCTTACGTGAAATAACTTGAATTCTGAGAAACATTATATAAATGTCAGAAACAGTGAATATTCCGACGCAACTACTGGAATGAATGAATCCAATGACATTATAACTACGTCTTAGATTGCATCGTATTAGATAACTCCAATTGTTAGTTTATGAGGCTATTATTACCAGACGTGCGACAGAAATAATTACATTCAAGTTTGTATTAAAAGTGTGCACCTTATTACTGATTATATAGTATTTTAACAATACTACATAGAAGAAATTATTTATTTTAACTAAAGCACGTCTACGTTGTTATTTTTGTTTTGACGAAGTTTAGGAGAAAAATAAATTATTACTAAAATTTTAATAGGCGCCAAAACTTTACCATTTTCGTGTTTTACAATAATAATCTAAGATATTAATAATTGTACCATATATCATTTATCAAAATCTGTCCAGGGTTGTTGCGCTGTTAAGTGCACTTGGGTACGGACATACATTAATAATGTCAGTAGTAGCATCTAGGTACTTACCTAGGTCAAAGACATTATCTACCGTCCTTTTTTGGCTTCGCCGGCGTCCGGCAGAAATATCAAAGCAGAATTGTGCATGAATGTAGATTGAACTATAAAATTATAGATCTTCAATGGATAATTTAAAAAAGCAATGGACGTATTAAAGTTAAAATGTAAAGTAACCCTTTCAAAGACAAACCGGGCAGTCTGCATCGGTATCCCCCTTTCCAATCCTGGATAACGTCAATGTCTATAAAACTTGACACGATCAATCCTAGCATTGCTAACAAAGTAACATAGTTTGTGACAGAGAAAATTCAAAGTAAATAGTTCAATCGCATAAACAGTTACGGGTAAAAAAAAAACTTAAAGGATAAAATCGAGAAGAACTTAATCCTAAATATAAAAAAATCTGATAAGAAGAACAAAAGTAAAAAACAAGCGACCTTAAAAGTTTTCGCATATGACGTCTGATGTCACACCTATCCAATTGACCACCTTTGTAACGCGTGTGTTCATTTTGGTTTGACACCAAATGCATAGTACGCGCTTCTCTGGTTTGCTGTTACACACTTCCGTCTCATTTTACGAAATTGTTTCCACAGACTGTAGGACAGCAAGAGGAAAGATGTTACAAATCAAAAGCAATAAGAAACTGAAATAACTTTCTATGTTATGGACGATAGATATTTTGAGTTCAGAAGTAAAGCGTGCATGGGCACTTGCATAATATTCAGAAGTTAATGTATTATTGAAATAAATTTAAATTCCATTGTCATTCGCATGATTACAATGACAAGAGCCTACAAACCTTATAATCTCTCTGCATTGTAATATCAATAATGACGAACCGAGTCCTTGATCTATGCGCAGGCAGCTGGTTGTTTCGTAAGGTATTATTATTATAATTCAAATCAAACTTGAAGTTCGGATCGTCTTCTGCTATTTTATCATTGTATCTGTGACCTATCCCTACATTGTAAATTCAAATATTACAAAGTTCATTCCTTTGTTCATGTTTTGATATTACTGCTGCACGATTGTCTTTGTAAAAAATTTAGATTGATATTCAGATTTAATATTTATCGACGAATTTTCAAAAAGGTTATAAACAAATGACGGATGGTTTTGTCTGATGACCTGTGGAGAATACTGTATGAAATAAGATTGTCTGAACATGATTATTCTATTATTTTTATACATATGAAAAAAACAAGTCAATTTTGGATTGGTTTAATATCAGAATATGCCAACAGTATATCTTACTTAGTATTCTTTTATCATTAGTGTATCATTATGATATCTACACTTATAGTCATACTTGCAGCTATGGTTAGTATACGATGTCACAATAGTTAGTGATTATTATCTCTTCCGATTTCACAATGAACGGATAATACGAGTACATATTCATCTTAGATTGTTTGACATTCCAAGCGGATCGCATCCTAGTCTGTCATAAGTGCGAAGATTTTGCCATTAAAAGGTGATTTCCGCGTCGCATCGCAATAAAACTTAGTTTCCTATAAACAACGGGATCTTTAAACAGATGTTTATAATGTATGCATTGACAGTTATTATTATATTTTAGATTTCTGCTATTGGCGAGAACACGGCGGCAACCTGATAAGGGAAGCACCGGTTAAGACCAGAGACGTCTTACCCGGCTCGCGGATGCTTCTGATGATCTTTGTGAAGCTTTGTTATCACAAAAAAATTCTAGGTATTTCGATTTGTACAACATTAACGTACTCTACCGAGTATTCCGATGAAAGACTCTAATCCTACCATTCTCCGTTCGAATTTAGATGTCAGCACTGTTAGTATACTTTTGCACTACCTTTTACATTGCCTAGTTTAAAAAACGATTGTTAAAAGTATTACTCATCAGAAACCTTCTTAAGCGCTAGTGACCGTTTGTCATCAAGGAATTAAAGGAAATCAATGCTAGTTAAAACTTCTTCAAAATCAGCCAATTACCTTTTAAGTAACAAACAATTTTTATACAATTTTCGCTATAATTATTTCTTCCACAAAAAATCTTAATAGACGTTTCGATCAGTAAATATAGCTCAAACATTACTAAATGAATTTGATTTTTAAACCCACTTTTATTAACTTCTCCTAAAACTGAGTTACAATTGTAAAAGTCAATGTAAACTTACTTCTAATTATCATATCGTTTGTTTTCTTTTCTTTTATGGAAGAGGGGGCAAACGATCAGACGGGTCACCTGATGGATAGCGACCACCGCCGCCCATGAACGTCTGCAACTTAGGACTCACAAGCGCGTTGCCGGCCTTTGAGGAAAGAGTTCTTTTCTTGAAGGTCGTATCGGTCCGGCAATACCGCAGACGATTACTTATTCCACAGATTGGTGCGAGGCAAAAAGGGTCTTGAAAAGCGCACAGTAGAGTAGTGTCAATTATCCAAGTGTCAGGGCTATCTAGGGCTAGGATACAAGTTAGCAAATTATCGTTTTGTTGGAATGGTGAACCTCTTCGGACGCTACCAAAAGCCGCCTAAACAAATCATATGAGTTCGATTATGACTCATCTTGTTCATGTCTAAGAGATTGGGCTTGGTAAAGATACTTTAATGACGAAGCGAAGAGGTGGACAGAGGCACTCTTTTTGACCTGACGCGCCAGAAGAAGTATTATGTATTTCCAGTGTATGTATGTATGTATGTTCTTTGGCACGCCCTGTAGCCAAAAGGAGTTGATGGATTTGGCTTGGGAGGTGTCGTT